CAGTTATCGAGGAATATCTCTGGATCTAAGGGAGATATCAAAATTTTCCTCGATAACTTTTTTGTGGGGTAAAGTGAGAGCTACAAAAAAGATTTGACAAGACTTTCTCTATCTCTGTTAGATTCCGATTTATTTATGGATGAGTACTGAAAGCTTTTTTTGATTTATGTGTTGTTTGGGGATTTAGGGAGATGCCAACAGCGGAAGAAGGGGAAGAACCAGTAGTTGAAGATGTTGGGCAGTTGGAGGATCCCGACGAACCCCCTGGGGAAGAGGGACCTCGACAAAATGGCCAGGGTGGTAGGGCGGGAATTATGAAACCCCTGGTGGTTCTTGCGCTTCCCGGAATGTATCTTTTCTACAAATACAGTCAGTACCGGAGGGAGCAGCGGGAATTGTCCAGGAGGCGAATCACCGAGCGGGAGTTGCAGCATCTTCATCATAAAATTGTGAGTCCTTTTTATTTTCATATTTTATTCAGCAACAAATTACAAAAATTCCCTCAAATCTCGTATTCCCTCAATTGCCGCTGTATCTCGAGAACCGTCGACTCCAGAGGAAAACACTAAAAGAATTTTTTATAGCTCATTAAATTTCGGATAAAAAAGCTCTTTTCGTATTTTTTTCCAAAATCAATAGTTTCAGAGATCCAGAGATATTTGTGGACGATGAATTTCTACTCATCTTTTTCGCTGGTAATTTTTAAATGAATTCCGGGAAATTAAATTCCAGGTGATTTCATTCACATGCAAATGAGAATGGAGCTGACAAATTGTTATTTAATTATTTTTCTTGAGGGGGTAACCCAATAATCCCTGCCTTCATTAAATTTTCTTGGGGTTGTCTCATTGAAGGAAATTGGGGGAGATAATTTCGATTAGCCAACCACTTAAATTCGATTAAATTCCATCGCTCTTCAGTGATTTCAATTACTCTGGTACACTAGTCATCATTTTTTCCTAGTACTTTTGCTGCACTTCTTGGAAATTTTTATCGCATCCCAGTTTCGCAGAAATTTACTGCAATCGGAAGTTGCAATTTTTATGTTAAAATCGATGGTTACGGTGAATTTTTCCTCAATTACTCCATAAAAAATATATGGAAATCTGGAAATTATGGAAATTAAGGCGTAGCCAACGGCAATTTATTGCTCATTCAATGGTTGTTTAATTTTCTGAAATATCCCATAAAATCATAAAATCCTCTGAGAATCGTTAGCATTTAATTTTCAATATTCAAAATCATCGCTATTATTATTATCATCTAATTGTTTAAAATTTCGAGAGAGATTCGTCGGTTTTCCTTCAATTTTTTTGTTCAAGATGTAATAAATAATTTATTTTGGCAATAGAAATACTCATCGCAGTGAAAATTCGTACGACTTTCTTCTCATGTTCGTTTCCATTATCTCCAGGTGCACATTCTCATTCTGAACTAGTCTCCAGTTACTATCACAATGGGACTATCGTATCTCATCTCAAGTCTATACCTTTCAGGGCTATCAAATAATGACACGGAAGTGTCGAAAACATTCGCATTCGATTACATCGAATCGTACCTCTTCTAAAAGTTGTCCTCAAACTCCCGAGGAATTCCATTCCAAATTTCGATTAACACTGAATTAATTTCAATAAAAAAAAAATTGAAACCATTAAAAATTCCAGAATTCCAGTAAAAACTCTGGAATTCTCAAATTCCTCTAGATTTTAACAATAATAATAACAATTTCCGGTTGAATATTTTTGAAAGAGGATTTCTGGGGAATTCCTCACGAGGAAATTCACTGGAATTTTCGAAAAATCGGTGATTACAATTTTTTTATGGAATTGTATGGAATAAATTTCAAAAAGTCAATATTTTCCCCCCAAGACGAGCGGGAGTTCCCCTGATTCAGAATTACTAGACTATTATTTTCCTGGGGTCATTGGCCAGACACTCCCGTTTTTTTCCCTCCGCTCAATGTTCGTTCGTGCCGATGGCGATAAGAGAATTTTGTTTTCTTTCACTGGGTAAAAAATCCTTCGTTACTCCTACGATTTTATCTAGTTTCCAAATTTCGATTCTGAAGTTTGACGTATTCGATTTTATTATAGACAAAGGGCTGCAATCGAAATATCGATAGCGATAAAATTTATCTTGAGATAGAATGATGATGATTTTAACTCAGAATTGGCGTGACCTTTATCAGGTCATAATGCGTAATGAGAAAAATTTTCTGTTGATCTTACGTCTCATGACTTGAGGTCTCGCGCCTCGCGAGGCGCGTCCTCACGCGACTTTTAATGATTATTTTATTAATTATATATTTTTCTGAAAAAAACGCCGATAAGAATTTCTGAAGGTCGAGAAAAAGAGGCAGAAGGGCGTAACTACCGTCTTCGTGACTCAATTGCGCGTTATAATGACAGTGGAAATAATTGAGTTGAGGTAACGTTAACCGTAAATCGATATTTCGAGGCGTAACTCTGAATCTAATGGAAATGGCGAAATTTTGTGCGGAACCTTTTTTGTAGGGAGTAGTGAGAGCTACAAAAAAGGTAATCACAAAAAAGTCGCTATCTCTCTCAGAATCAAAGATATCTCGAAAACTTCGGTGATAAGTAAATGGACTGCTTCCCTTCGCCCCTCGCGGGTTCAGTTCCCGAGGAATATCTCCGATTCTAAGAGATATAGCGAAACTTTTATAGAGACCTTTCTTGTAGCTCCCATTCTCCTCCACAGAAAAGGTCATATGAAAAATTCCGTTATCTGTCTTAGATTCTGAGGTACTTCTCAAAAAGTCGACCTATTGTTGACTTGATCATCAGTAAATGCGAGACGTTACCAGAAATCCAGTTATTGAACTAGACTTTTCAATTTTTATATTGATCTACCGAAAATTCTGGCTCGCTCGTGTGAATGGTATCTTCTCAGGAAACGTGTGACACAATGAAAAAAGTATATCGTATGCACGTGACAAAGTATCCCATCATTTGCGGTAATGAGGGGTGAGTGCCCGAGGGCATCAGCCCCTTCAACCTGCAGAAATAACAATGTATCATCGCATGACAAATCCATTATTATATTCCCCCCAAAATTCTATCCCCAAATTTTTGCTATTGAATTCTCCAAATTTGCTAATTAAAATTTCCCCGAATTTTTGAAATTCTACAATTACCGAATTCCAAACAATTAACCAAAAATATTTCTCACTCCAATCAAAACATCAGTTCAACAATTTCACAACGATCAAATAATAAATCAAAGAATTAATTACCCAATGAATTATTAATAATTGTTTGAAGTAATTAATTAATTATTTTATTATCCAGTAAATCGGTAATTAAAATCCGTGGGATTTAATTGAAATTCGTATTTCAATTATTTTTATTATTATTTGAATTATAATTGTTATAATTGAATTATTAATTTAATAATTATTTTTTATGATTTTTACTTTTTAATGAGAATTATTAATATAATTTAAATATTATAATTCAATTATTTTTGGGATTATTGTCGTTTTTTTTATTTGTCGTTCACTTTTTTTTGAGTCACGACTCCAGACGTTTTTCAATCTCTCTGCGACTGCAAGTCCGCATTAATAAATTGCAATAATACTCCGGTCTTTTTTTTTTCCCGTTGTTGAACCGTACGTTCTGATCGATGAGCACAAAAGCATACAACATGGCCGGAAGCTACGAGACTTTTCACCGGAAACCGTTTGAAAGTTTCAACGTTGTGGATCGATTTTCATTCATGGTAACGGACTTCTGACGAATGAGATTAATCACCACGAGTATCAAATTAAAATTACACTTCAAATTAAGAAAGCGGATGGAATAAATTGAAGAAAAAAATATTTTCCATTAATCTTGAAATTTTGCAATCTAATTTATCGATTTTTATTAAAAATCTCTATTGGAATTCCTGAATTCTCTTCAAGTCGAGAATTCGGAAATAATTTCTCGAATTTCCAATATTTTTCGTAATTTTGTGATTGAACGACTTCAAAATTACGATTTCATAAAAAATTCAAAGAACCGATTTGACTTCAATTTTCCTAATTAAAAAATGGAGATAAATTTAATATAAATTTGGAATTATATAATTTTCACTTAAAAATAAAAAAATGAACACTTGATCAATTAGCGCAGGTGCTTCTCAACCGTTCAGAAAGATCGATACCGATTTGTTCGTGTGGAAATCGATTTGCAATCGATATCGCATTAAAAATTGCCAGTCCTTCCTCCACGTACATTATCAGAATCATTTAGAACCCAACAATGATTTAGAACCCATTTGAATAAAAAATAATGCGAATATAAATTTATTCGTGTTTAAAATTTCTCTGAAAACCGGCGATACATTTTCTTCGATGAAGTCGTCCCCGAAAGGTCTATAGAGTCCAGGTGCAATTGTTATCGACGTGTCCGCCTGAATATTTCAGCGATGGAGTAGAACCCCGGGTTGTTGTCCGGATCCACATATTTATGGGAGATAAAATGATTTTTCCATCGATCGACAAAAATTAATAGATTAATCCAATCAAACTATTCTAATTAAACGAGAAGAATCAGCTGATTAAAGTCAATCAAAAATTTCTCCTCTTTTCCCTCTCTCTTCACTCGCCATGCCTGAATTATTGCCCTTTTAATGATGGAATGTAATTAATTAATGGAGGATATCGGTACAAGTAAATTTATTCAAAAATACCGGCCTCTCAAATCGGTAAAGTTCCGCGCGAACGGCGCCATTTTGTTTGTCTTCAGGTAAAATATTCCACGATTTCTCGGGTCTGTTGCTAATCCCATGAAAGCGTCGGGCATCCAACTGCACATTCGCACCTCTGGGCGCCATTTTGTGCATCTCGTGGCGGGAAATCCTGTGGGATTTTTTATCGACTCCACGTAGAATTCCCAGGCACGATTGTGACTGCAGACAACTGAATCAATTGGAATTAGATCGCCGTCGTGGTTTCATTTTGAAAAAATGAGAAATCTGTTCATTTCTAGGGAAATTTAATTTTTGAGGAATTTCGGGGAATCCCAGAATCTTGAATGACACAAAAGGCGCGAAATTCAACCGATTTTTTTGACAAAATGATTAATACGATTAATTAAATTAATAAAATCAATTGGATCCATAGGATTGATTGGATTAATTCATATTAGTCGGATTAATTGTAATAATTTATTCGAATTTTATAATTACCGTAGTGCCGAATAAATTGGCCGATTCGCGTAGTGAAGAATGAGATGTCGGGGCATCCGGGCTGAAGGGGTCGTCCACCATTGGGGTAGAAATCGGCGTGTCCTATGGGGTTTGGAAATCCGAATCGTCCCCCGTCGGTGTGAATTACGTCGACGAAACTGGCGTCGGAAGCCGTCAAGTGCCCCTCCATTCCTGTGTCCATGTAAAGTGGATAGGCCGCGTCCAACCCCGTGATCCTCCCGATCTATAAAAAATT